GGAAATATTATTTGTGAATAAAATTTATATTTTTGAAAAAGTTAAGAATATATAAAATTAATACATATAATAAAAGTATTAAATATATTTGTAAAACTAGCTTCGTAAGAAAATTAATTCAAATAAGCTACATTTATGCAAAATTAATTTAGCTTAAATGAATTAATATTTTTACTAAAGTAATGTTATTAAAAAGAACTTATCATTATTTAAAATATAAATTTCAAAATAATAATAGTTTGGTTTATATATTTATGTAAAAATAAAAAGTGATTTGTAGTATTAAATCGAAAAGTAAAATGTAAAAGTATGTCATATATTGAGAATAACTTAAAATTGAAACCTTCAAATGAAAAGTTTGAAAATTCAGGTCTTATTTCGACAGAATAACAAAAAGTTAAATCCTACAATAAAATTTCCTCAAACTTTCAAATCTCTCACATAACCTCTCAAATAAAAAAAAAAAACAATTTGAAGTCTTAAATTAAAAAATAAAAATATAAAAATAGACCTTATATCGAGAATAACTTCAAAGTAAAAATTTGAAGATCCGGCCTTATTTCCACAATAACAAAACTTTCCCAAACAAAAAATCAAATTTGCTAGTTTAATACAATTTCTCCCTCTATCTTCGACCATCGAAGAGCAAAGAGTTGATAGGGATCTGCTGTAGGCAGTTTTCTCGCCAATTCGCCGGTCGAGTGTGGCGTAGGAACTTGGTCTTATTCAAGGAAATCCAAGGTCTCCAAAATCCTCGAGAAATATCATTTGATTCGATAAGTATTTGGATTCAGCTGCATAATCTTCCTCTTGCATTTATGAATAAGAGGTCATTAGAATCAATTGCCTCAAATGTTGGAGTCGTTATCGAAATCGACGAAGGCCAAGGGGGGTAATTTTTGGGGTCGTTTGTGAGAGTGGAGAATCAAACAGAGGAGATAATCATTCTTGTGGTGTATGAAAGGCTCCCAGATTTTTGTTATATGTGTGGAAGGATAGGGCATATTATGAAGGAGTGTGAGACCCATGAAGGCGACGGAGAAAATCCTCCGTTCGGAGCCTGGCTGAAAGCGTCGACTCATTATGCAGGGAGGAAGAGCAGAGAAGAGGGTCGAACCTCTCCCAGGAGATCCCCAGCTGGTTCTTCTTCTTCGAGCCGTGATCCGGGACAGTTAGTCAAAAGAGATGTGCACAGTCCGATTAGGGAATGCCATAGCCCGATAAGTAATGACAGCGATCCGAGCATAATGGCGGCTATTAGAAATACTGAGAAAATTGATGAACTCTCCCTCATACTTCCAGAAGAGAATAATCGAGAGGTTGCGAAGTTGATGAAGTATGAAAAATCGGGTCAAACTATCCAGGAGGTAGACATGATGAAAGAGTTTGAGGGCCATCAAACTACCCCTTCTAAATCTACTACAGAAGTCAGGATTATAGAGAAATCCCAAAAAGTTACGATGATGATCCAGGATGATGATGGGAACGAAACGAAGACTTCTCCAGAACGAAGACCGAAAAAATGGAGGCGGCTGGAATGTAAGGACAACCGGAGTGACTATGCAACCACTTTTAACATTCCAGAAGATTTTCCAAGAAAAAAAAAATCAGAAGCTTCCTTAGAACCAGAAACTTCCGATTCCATCAATAAAAGAAGCTGTGGTATTGACACATCCCGTAAGGCGTCTGAGGAAACGGCGGGGTTGCATTGATCAATGAGTTGCATTTGTTGGAACGCACGGGGTTTGGGGAACCCCCGTGCGTTCAAGAACCTGAGTCGCTTAGTCGAGGAGAAGAAACCATCCTATTGTTTCTCTGCGAGACTAAAGTGGCTCAGGAAAAAAGTTATAATTGGCGTAGTATTCTTGGTTTCCCTGGTTGTTTTGTAGTTAGTTGTCGTGGTAAGAGCAGGGGGTTAGCATTACTCTGGAAAGAACCATTTCAGGTTACTATTAAATCATTCTCTTCAGGTCACATTGACTGTGTAATTGTGGATGATAATCGGTGCTGGCGATTTACGGGTTTCTACGGCGACCCAAAAACCACTGAAAGAAAATTTTCTTGGGAGCTTCTTCGCAAACTGTATCATGATGTGGATCTATGTCATCTCCCCTGGCTGGTTGGAGGTGATTTCAATGAGATTTGCTTTAGTACCGAAAAGTATGGAGGTCGACCCCGATCTTCTGCTCAAATGGATACTTTCCGTGAAGTGCTCAACTGTTGTGAACTCCAAACCATTTTCAGTGAAGGGGATCCGTTTACTTGGGTTAATCGAAGAAGCGCAGAAAACCTAATCTTTGAAAAGTTGGATAGGTTTGTTGGAACCTCTCCGTGGTGTGATCTGTACCCAGTTGCTCGGGCCCGTACTCTTGAATTTTTTGGTTCAGACCATAGGCCAATTGAAATTATGTTGGGTGAGAGAGCACTTCCAGCAATGAGAGGTAAATATTTCTTTCGCTTTGAATCTTGTTGGCTAAGCGAAGATCATTTTGATAGTGTTGTGGAAGAAGGATGGAGAATGGCAGATATATCATGCCCAATTACTACTAAATTGGCAACTTGCAGTGATTTCATCTCAGCTTGGGCGGGGTCTCAGTTTCGAAAACTCTCAAAGAATATTAAACAGAGAAGGGATGAACTCAATTTGCTGTCAACATCAAATCAGTGGGAAGCCAACTTTAAGCGTATTCAAGAATTGGAGGCGCAAATAGACAAACTTACCATCCAAGAAGAAACTTATTGGCGACAAAGAAGCAGGATCACGTGGCTTAAGCAGGGAGATAAAAATTCAAAATTTTTCCATGCTCAAGCATCGCGACGTAAATAGAGGAATTATATTAAGGGCCTTCTTAATTCTCAAGGGTCTATCTGTACAAACGGAGATGGAATGATGGAAATAATTTCGGATTACTTTGCCTCTCTTTTTCAATCGACTAATCCCTCAGAGGATAGTATCAGGGCTATTACTGACGGAGTGCCTCCTAAAGTTACTGACAGTATGAATCAATATCTGTGTAGCCCATTCTCTGCAGAAGAAGTCAAGAAGGCAACTTTTGATCTGGGTCCGGAGCAAGCCCCAGGCATGGATGGTTTTCCGGGTCTATTCTATCAACGCTTCTGGAATATTGTTGGCCAGGATGTGTGTAATGAAGTGTTGAAGGTTCTTAATGATGATGCAGATATAAAAGCTTGGAACGGAACTATTATTACATTAGTCCCTAAAACGGCTCACCCAGTCTCCATTTCAGAATATCGTCCGATAAGTCTTTGTAATTTTCTTTATAAAATTGTTGCTAGAACTTTGACTAATCGGTTCCGAGAAATTTTGCCGTCTGTTATTAATGATTTTCAAAGTGCTTTCATCCCAGGGAGGTTGATCACTGATAATATCATTTTGGGATTTGAAATTATGCATTGGCTCCGTAACCATCGTCAAAGTAAAAGGGGATACGCATCTTAAACTAGACATGAGTAAAGCTTATGACCGTGTGGAATGGAATTTCTTAGAAGGAATCATGGGACAAATGGGTTTCAGCAACAGATGGATCAACAAATCATGATGTGCGTCCGGTCAGTCTCTTATTTCTTCAACTGCAACCAAAACAGGTTCGGGCCTTTAACTCCTCAACGAGGCATCCGTCAAGGAGACCCACTGTCGCCGTATTTGTTTGCCTTGGTTTCTCAAGGCCTCTCACATCTACTTTTAGTGGCTGAAAGTAATAAATGTTTGCGAGGTATTCATATTGCAAATAACTGTCCCAGTATATCGCATCTTTTTTTTTGCAGACGACACAGTTTGATTTTCTTTAGAGCTGAGACACAGGACGCTGACACTATTCAAAATTTTTTGCACCTGTATGAACAAGCGTCTGGTCAGGTCATTAACTTTGCGAAATCATCTCTTTCCTTCAGCCCGAATACTTCCCCGGAATTGGTAGCTGCAGTAAAAAACATCTTAAAAATTCCGATTGCTCAACGTCACGAGATTTACCTGGGCCTTCCTACCTTTTCAGTCAGAAGTAAGCGAACCCAGTTTGGCTATCTCAAAGAGAGAGTTGCTCATCGAATTCAAAGTTGGAGCCATAAATATTTTTCCGAGGGTGGTCGAACAGTGCTGTTACAATCAGTTCTTCAGTCAATCCCAACGTATGCCATGTTGTGCTTTCGAATTCCTAATTCTTTGTGTGAAGAAATTGAGCGAGATTGTGCTAACTTTTGGTGGGGGACTGACAGAGGGTCAAAGAAAATGCATTGGTGCCGTTGGGAAACTCTTTGTAAACCTAAATGCCTAGGAGGTATGGGATTTCGACATCTCTCTGCTTTCAATAAAGCTTTGCTAGCGAAGCAGGGATGGCGTATATTAAAAAGTCCTGATTCTCTTTTGGCAAAGGTCCTAAAAGCTCGGTATTTCAGACACTCAGACGTAATGTCAGCTCCTTTGGGTAACAATCCGTCTTTTTGCTGGAGATCATTGACATGGAGCAGAGATATAATTACAAAAGGATCAGCGTGGAAGATTGGTGACGGCCGGAGTGTAGATATCTTCCAGGATATTTGGCTTCCAGAGAATCTCATTGTTAATGTCTTCCCACCTTTTATTGCTGAAGAAATCTTGAAAATCAATATCCCGAATTCCCCTGATAAGGACGATCTGTATTGGTGCTCTGACGGAAAAGGGAATTACTCAATTAAAGAGGGCTACAAAGTTGAAATGGGGTTTTTTGATCCTCCTGCAAATCAATCTGATAATCGGATCCGAAAATGGTGGAAATTCCTGTGGGCCTTAAACATTCCGTTAAAGGTACGTACTTTTTGGTGGCGTTTAGCGAATGATTTTATTCCTTCGGCTTTAAATTTAGCTAAACATCATATCACCTCATCAAGCGGATGTCAATTGTGCAATTCTCCTCTCGATTCAACCCTCCATTCTATTTTTTTCTGTCCCCGGGTGGTGCCCCTTTGGAAAAATACTAACTTTTACCCGTTAGTTAAAAAGACAAAAAATGGCTCTTCTATGGATTTATGCCTGTGGATGAAACAAAACTTGTCAACTCCAGAATTTGAAAATTTTTCATTGTATGCCTGGTTAATTTGGAAAGAGAGGCAAAGAGTAATTCATGGCCCAAATATTAATGAAAAGCTAAAGTGCGTAGCTGGAGCTGACAACTTGAAACGAAACTTCCAAATATCCATTGGCGGTTCGGGGGTCACTCAAGGTAATGAAGATCGTCCAACTCCCCACATTTGGAGCCCACCTCCCAAACACTCAATTCGCATCGATGTTGACGCAAGTGTTAATATGAAGGACGATAGATTTGGGATCGGTGGTATTTCTCGGGACGATCAAGGTAATGCTCTATTTGCTTTTGGTATGCCAGTCATGAATCCGGGTTCTGTTATTCATTGTGAGCTATTGGCGATTAAAGAAGGATTGGAAAAATGTGGAGTGTTGCACCAAGCCCCTATCTTTATTTTCACAGACTCTCTGTTGGCGGTACAAGCAGTTACTGACTACAAAGAGACTCATGGCTATATTCGCTCTTGGGCAAAAGAGATAGATGGTCTAATGTCTAAAGCGGCAGTATCTAGTCGATTACAACATATGCGTCGATCGGCCAACAATGTTGCTCATGCTATTGCTAAATTTGCCTCTTTCTCGAACTCCCCTTTCTTATGGAAGGTGGATGATTTTCCTCTTTGGCTTAAAGAACTTATTTCTTTTGACATTGTACATTGATATTTTAATGATAAGTTCTTTTCCAGTAAAAAAAAAAAAAAAAACAAAACTTTCCCAAACTTTCTAAAACATCTCTCACATATCCTCTCAAATTGCTGTTCAAATCAGGCTCATTCCTCTTTTTCCTATCACCAATCCCTAAAATCACGTCGCCACACTTTTCTGCTCCATCTTACTGCTACAAATTTCGACCTTGAAAGTAGTGTGGAAAAAGGGTCCGAAGCTCGAACAAGCAATCCTGGACAACAATCGATGGCGGCTCTGTGCTCGGGTCGTAAGAGAAGTCATAAACGAACCAAAAAATGTTTCCATAAAATTGACTATATTTTCTAGCAATTCTCACTGGATATACAATTCGTCTCTAGGGATCAGATAAGGGGGAATAGCAAGTCTACCAATGGCTCAATGTGTGGGGTAGCAGTAAAATGGCTTTTCTTCTGAGGCTTGAAGTTGAGATGGCCCAAAAGAATAAAATTTGTTCAAAAAGTGTCAATAAAGAATGCAATTTTTGAAAAAAGTCTAAATCTTACTGAAAACATGACAAAAAATAAAGAAATGAAATCTTAAACTGTAAAAAAATAAATACTTAAGAAACGTCAGATAATTCCCATCCGTTACTTGGCAAAACACAGCCAGCGTCTTCGTCTACAGTCCGAACCTTTATCGACCAGAACCCGACCCGGTCAACTTCATCCGGGTTGCCGGTGGTGGAAAATCTGTGTAAATTGCTGGTGATGGGCAAGGACAGGCTCATCGGCGCAGATAAAGTGGCCGAGGTAAAGCGAGAATTTGGTTTTCTTGTTAATTTAGTGCTAAATTACCCTGAAAGATATGCATTATTGAAGCTTTGTTTATGTAGATTTCGTCTTGCCTGCTTTATATATATGGTATACAAATTTATATAGTGGATTGTTCAAACTTCAAAGCATGTAATATATTAAGAAGTCGAATAATGAATCGAGAGGCTTTTAGCATTTTGGTCCAAAAACGAAAAGGGTTCTCTTTCCTTCCAATTTACTGATCAAATGTTTGTTGTGTGATTCATGATAATATTAAGCATGGGCATGCTAAAGATGAGTGACAGTATGTTATATGCGAATTTAATATGAGACTGCTGTTCTGAACTTATTAGATTGAATGAATACCAGAAAAAAAAAAGTCTATTACTTGTTCATTTCTGTCATTTTGAGAACAATTGCTTAGGTGATATATATTGTGCTTAATACAGTTGAGCTGAAATTTTTTGGAATGAAAAAAGAAATTTTTGCATTATGCTGTATGTGTATACGGACTGTATCAGTTGCATATTCAAACGTGAAAGATATGCATTCATGAAGGTTTGTTTCTGTAGATTTCGTCTCGCCTGGGTTAGATTATATAGTATACAAACTTGTGTAGTGGATTGCTCGAAGCATGTAATATTTTAAGGAGTCGAATAATGAATCGAGAGGCTTTTAGCATTTTAAGAATGTAATAATACGAGACTGCCGTTCTGATTATTAGATCGAATACCAGAAAAGCCTGTTACTTGTTCATGTATGTAATTTTGAGAACAGTTGCTTAGGTGATATTGTGCGTAATACAGTTGAGCTGAATTTTTTTTGGAATGGAAAAGAAACAGTAATTTAATGGCACATACACTCACACAGAATGTGAATGATGCAATTTGCCCCTCTTGTTGTACTTCCACATCCACCAATAAACACACCTAACCTGATTTAAACATGAAAATCTCATGAAACCCAATAGTCGAAAACCTTATATAACCAAGAACCCAAAAAAAGTAGAAAAGTTACACCCACGAGCCCAGAACCTCTCGAGACATGAACAGATCCATGATCCTCCGCGTGCTTCGCTTTCTCCTTCTCGTGCTCCTCCTCAACCCTAAACCTACGGCTCAGAAAAAGTGGCCAAGGGGGCCCCGCCCGGCCCCTCCGGTCAGCATTCCTCCGCTATGCGACGCGCAGTACGGGCTGGTCAACAGCGCTTGCGGGTCGCTTCCCGCAGGCGGCCCGTGGGCCCCTCCGGGCCCTCTGGCCCAAAACTCGACGGGGGAAGAGGAGAAGTGCTGCCGGTGGCTGAAAGAGGTAGACGACACGTGCGTTTGTGGGCTTCTTGTGCCGCTGCCCGCTTTCATGTCGAGGCCCGCCCACAACTACACGGTCGTGGTCGAAGGAGTCTGTGAGGTCACTTTTCGATGCGGGTCGAGGCTCGTCGGGCCATGATTGATTGATTTTGATTGGCTGGCTGATTGGTTGGTTGGTTATGATATTAAGCTTTTACTTGCTTGCTGCTGTTAAGTTACTGTTACTGTGGTGTAATCTCTTCTGAGTTTTTTTATGTGATGGGAAAAATGTTATGGGCTATATTTGTGTGTGTGTTGGCTTTTTTTTTTTTTTTTTTNTTTTTTATTATTGAATTCCTTGTGTGAAGTTTGAAATAAGAGGTCATGTTTGATTGTGATGGTGTGTTTGTTTTTTGGATGTTTGCTTGATTGTGAAATCAATTGCTATTCATGGTGCTATTAAAATTTAATTAATTATTTTAAATGGCAGTCTTGTCATTTGTTGTGAAATCGACATGTTAGAATGACGATTTTTCGTGGTTTGAGACTTTTTTAAGATTTTGAAAGTTAAAGAGGAATTTTTGGAAATTTTAAATTTGGAGATATTTGGAGTGAGATTTGTATAAACTTTTCGGTTATGAAATATTAACAAATTTTAAAGTGTTTTAGTAAATCCCAACATCAAATAAGTTACATTGATTTGTTATATATATATATATTTTTTTTTAATTTCAAATAGTTTCTAAATGAAACTATTAGAGCTTTAAATGAAACGAGTTGTCCGTGAAGCTCACTTCCTGAAGTCCCAACAAAACTTTAAGAATATCAAATATATAAACTACTAGAGCTTTAAATGAAACGAGTTGTCCGTGAGCTCACTTCGTTACGACTCTAAAACGAGATTTTTTATTTTTATTTTTTTATATCTCATTAAAATTCTTTTTTCAATATAACCCTTTGCTTCTGTATTGTTCTATAACTGGCTATCTAATAATTACCTTTATATTCAATTATCTTAAGTAAATATATATATATATATATATATATTTATATATATATATATTATTTTCCTTATTCTTTTATGAAAAAAATCAGTAATTCTATTGTGAAATTGATTGAACATGAGTGATGATTTGTGGCCCATGTACCTTTATTCCAAACTTATCCTTTGTCAATAAAAAAATAGTTACTCTTCAAAGAAAAGAAGGTGGAAGAACTATACATAGTTATCGTATCTTATTTTCCGGATGTGTTTTATAACTTTTATTATAAATTAATTAGTTAACTAAGTAACAAGAACTTACGAGTTGTTAATAAAATTATTTCTCGACAGAACATATAAACTACATTATCATAGAAATATTCTAATTTGAAAACGTTCAAGCATTGACTATTATCAATCTTTACGATAATGTGGAATAAAAATCAAAACGTTTTAATGTAACACATATTTAGATCATAAATAATAATATTTATTACAAATTAACTAAGTAAGTCCATACTTTTTGTGGACTAAACTGAAGTTTGTGGACTAATCTGAATAATGTAACTGAACTTTGACCCCTTAATTTTTAACATGAGCAATTTAACACATTTCACATTATAATCGGGAAGAGAGTGCGGTCCCACCAGGTGAAGCGCACCATAAGATGGTGAGCCTAGGTGCACCATAATGAGGTTTCATCCCAAAACATTAAACCTGGTTTTGGGATGGAACCTCATAAAGGTGCACTTAAGTTCACCCTCTTATAGTGCTCTTCATTTGGTGGGACCGCACTCTATTCCACTGATTCTAATATGGTATCAAAGCGGGCTTGTCCTAAGACCTGCAATAACTTTCTCTACTCGACCTGCTCTGGGCTTGGGCTTATCTCTCTACCCGGCCTGCTATGTGGGCTTACGAAGGATTTACAAGTGATTGAGCGTATCGGAATATCATTTGTGAGTTGTCTTACATTGATTATATAGTGAAAATGAGTCTAGTATATAAGTCCAGTGGACTACTTCTCCCATCACCAATTGGTTTTGAGATAGAACCTCACTAAGATGCACCTAGGCTCACCTTCTTATGGTGCGATTCAGTGGCGAAACCAGCCGGTCATCCCGGGGAGGGCCGAATTTGCCGCGGCGCACCACCTCAACTCCGGCATCGGAAAGGCGCTCAAAGGGCTTTTGTAGACGCTCTCAAAAATTTTCGCAGGATATAAAAGAATACTCTAGAGATTTTTCTAAAAATTAAACTAAGTCCGGAATTAAACTGGTATACTTATACTGAATTGTTTTAACTCGAAAAATACTCGAATTTATACTAATAAAAATCTTGGACTCAATTATAATAATAATCAAGAATTATATTTCCTTTCGAATAGACGAAAAGCTGAAAAAATTGAGAAAAGAAGCTCGAACGATCGAACTCGTCCTCGACAAATTTGCTCATTTTGATACTATTTAACACAGAAATTCAAACTCCTATAATAAATGCTCGGAACTCCGAAAAATGCGAAATTTGTCCGTAAGGAATCGTGCTTGAATTGTCTACACGCTCCAACTCGATTCTCGTTAAATCGAGGTCACACGCAACCTTACGGAACCCCGCAAAACGGCTTTTTATTCTTCTATTATGCGCACTCGACTTCGAGCTTCTCAAAATAAATGCTCGAAACTTCAAAACGTGAAATAAATCTTACCAACGGCTTCTACTGTTCTCGTGCTTTCAAGAAAGCACTCCCGCTAATTTTCAGCACGCCTAACGAGGGCCGACGGTTACCCGAAGTCTAGACATGAAAATGACAATAAAATCACCGCCACTGCCATTTTTCTCTCAACTTCGGGCTACCCAAAATAAATGGTCGGGACCTCAAAATCATAAATCGATGGCACTAGCGGACTTTCCGCTTCCCGTACTTTCATAAAAGTATTTTTCGGTAATAATCGACTCAGTTTTTAAGTCCTGTCGGTACACCGCAAGTCGGCTAATTAACCAACTCAAAATATAATAAAAATAAAAAAATTGTTAAATTATGTTGCTGTTATAGTTCTCCTTGTCCTGAAACCAGGATCCCATTTCGGGGAGGACCCAATTGCCTTTAAAAAAAATTTCACGACAAAACTAGTGGCGCCCCTCCGGCCATGTATGTACCGTATGAAACCGGGGATGGCCCAACATGCGCGCTCAAAGGAAAATCTTCCAGTTCTAGCAAAATTCTGCACCCCTAGTTTAAATTTTTATTTTTTTTGGAGGGGCCGGCGCCACTCCAAACTTGTGAATAATTTCGCCCCTGGTGCGGTTCACATAGTGGCACCGTACTCTCTTCCTCCGGTTCTAATATTTTATCTACAAACTTACTTTAGGACATTTAGACAAAACTCATGTTCTGATTTAATAATTTATGATAACATTATGTGGACGTGTTAATACATTTTATTGGGGTTGAGTTAATTAATACCGGATCAAATGAAACTTTATGAGCTAAAAATCACATATTCAACTTTTTATTCCAAATTTTTAACAAACAATATACTAATATGTGTATCCATGTTCTAAAGAAAATGTATGTTAGAAATTTTTTAACAATAAATAGTATATACTAATATACATGTTTTAAAGAGATTTACAGACGTGTGAGTATAAAGTTGCATATTCAATCATATAAATAAATTGCATGGCTTAAAAAAATAATAATAATAATAATAATAAAATTGCATGGCTATAAATACACTAATTCTTCGTTACAATAAGTCAACGTGAATATAATATATAATAAGGCAAAATATGTGAATGTGAATAATATATAATAACACAAAACTTATTTCTCAGATTAATTCTTCATTACAATTCGTCAATAACCGTGAATAATATAATATATAATAAGACAAATTTATTTCTTAAAGATACATAAAATTATTTTTTATTACATAACCTTAAACAAATATATAATAATAAAAATAGACAAAACTACTTAAATCATAATAAAATTTAGACCATAAGATCTGTTAAGATAATACTACGACGAACTTCTCCAATGTGCGTACGAACTTCTCCGATGTGCCTGATCGGAGTGTATGTCGGATTCAAATCATATAAAAAGTTACTAACCACCTCGATTCCGGCAGCTGCAATCGTATTTCGCCACGCTGCATCCATTTCTCCCTCTTCTCCCTCTCGTTTCTGAAACACATCTGTAGCATCAAAGCGATGGATATTCCATTTTACGTTCAATTGTTGAATTTTGTTGAGCTGTCGCTCTGCCAACTTACATGTATTTATCTTAATTGAATCAATTGCCTTCTCAAGAAAGGTTTCACGAGTTTCTTTCCCACAAATCCATTCCATTCTGAAAAACTCGTCCAGTTCAGATACTCCGATGGCCCTCCGAATTCCTTTTGAATAGTCTGCATTTGGATCATAGAAATTCCTAACTTCATCAACCATTCCCCTCTCCACCATTTTATCGACTCGGTCACATACATAAGAATGGAGGACCGGCATTGCCACATCCATCCAAAGGAAACAGCAATCGTATTTTGATTGGAAATTCACGTCCACGAGAGCCTCAACGAACGAATTCGAGCCACCGACGATTATCGGAAGCTTGTTTCGACTCAGTATCGACTTAATCGAAACCAAAGCTGCATCACAAAAGTCTCCAACCGAGAAATCGGAATCGGGATCGGTGATCCCGAGTATGTGGTGTGGCACACCACACCTCTCTTCGTCGGTGATTTTGTTGGTGGTGATTTCGAGCCCTTGGTGGACTTGTATTTTGTCGGAGTTTATTATCTCGGCCTCGAAACGAGTGGCGAGATCGATCGACAGACGCGTTTTTCCAGTGCCGGTAGCACCCATCACCACTACAACTTTCTCTTTTGGCATTGGCATATGCATCAAAGGGCTTATGTGTTTGGATATAGCAAGTGACATAGTCTCTTTCAAGTGATTATTGGACAGAAAAATGTCAAGAGTGAGATGTTTTTGTACTTTACAGAATTTTTTTTACAACTTTTAAGAAAGTAAGAAGAAAATTAGAATTGAACAAAATAAAGTTAAATTGAAAGAGTTTGGTAGCTAAGAAGAGAGAATCGTTTAATAAGAGTAGATGCATGCAAGCTAGGTGCAAAATCGATGGTGTATTTATGGAGGGCATCGTCCAATAAAAAGACACATTTCTTGTCAAAAGCCTCACTTTCTACTTGTCAACTTGATAAAAAGTATTATTAGAAAAAGAAAAAAAAATGTTTTTTCCTTAAAAATTTAATATAGTGATTAGACTTAACTTGACCGACTATTAAATTAAAATATTTGTAACACAGGTCACGTTAGATAGCGCAGACTGAGAATAAAACATAAAAAATATATAAGAACAATAAAATTAAGCATGTATTTTAATAAATATATAAAATACATACTTTTTTTTTTTTACTTTTCAAACACAATGCATTTTAAAAAAATCAGTTGGACACTTGGACTTGTTACTTTACTTCCTTGAATAATTTAAAAAAAAAATCATTAACTAAACTATTAAATTATTCTTACTTAAAACTAATGAGAAAAATATTATATTAAACCCCAACTTTATCTTATTTTTGCTTTTGCCACCAAAATTTTCTTTTTCAAAAGGCAAATATTAATTTAAACTCAAAAAGAGTAAAATCGGTAACCAACTAGTTACAATAATCATCCTAACTATCAAGCGAAAGAAATGAACAAACCACGAGGGAGTCTTTGTAGCATAAGAGTTCCCCTCAACAGGGATCAATCCTATAACAAACTCCCAACAAGAAGGATAAAAACTTCATAAAAGAGACCAAAATACTCTACCAAATGACTAAGGGTATGTTTGGTAAGCCAAATAAGCTAGTTTATAGCTTTATTGGTAGCTTATAAGCTCCTTATTTAAAATAAGCCTCGTTCGGTAGGACGAACTTTTTTAAAAAGCTCGAGCTTATTTCATAAGCTACTTTAGGTAACTTTTCAAATAAGCTAGTTGAATTTTTTATTTCAGCTAGCTTATCAGCTAATTTACCAAACACCTTTTATCATATAAGCTAGCTTTTCAGCTATAAGTCATAAGCTATAAGCTATAAGCTAGCTTATCAGCTATCAGCTAGCTTATCAGCTAGTTTTACCAAATATAGCCTAAGGCTATGTTTGGTAAACCAAATAAGCTAGCTTATAACTTATTTGGTTAGCTTATAAGCTTCTTGTATTCAAATAAGGCTATGTTTGGTAAAATTAGCTGATAAGCTAGCTGATAGCTGATAAGCTAGCTTATAGCTTATATGTAATTTTTGAGCTTATAGCTTATAGCTTATGACTTATAGCTGAAAAGCTAGCTTATATGATAAAAGGTGTTTGGTAAATTAACTGATAAGCTAGCTGAAATAAAAAAATTCAACTAGCTTATTTGAAAAGCTACCTAAAGTAGCTTATGAAATAAGCTCGAGCTTTTTAAAAAAGCTCGTCCTACCAAACGAGACTTATTTTAAACAAGGAGCTTATAAGCTAACCAAATAAGCTAAAAGCTAGCTTATTTGGCTTACCAAACATACCCTAAGTCTCGTTTGGTAGGACGAGCTTATTTAAAAAGCTCGAGCTTATTTGATAAGTTTGTTTAGGTAGCTTTTCAAATAAGCTAGTTGAATTTTTTATTCCACCTAGCTTATCAGCTAATTTTACCAAACACTTTTATCATATAAGCTAGCTTTTCAGCTATAAGTAATAAGCTATAAGCTATAAGCTCGAAAATTACATATAAGCTATAAGCTAGCTTATCAGTTATCAACTAG